CGACCCCTTTTGTTCAACACTGAAGCTGTTAGCTGAAGCTTTCTGGCTTTCCTTCTGACGAGTTTCGGTTTACGTTTGGGTTACTAGACTTGCAGCATTGACTTGCAGCATTGACACTTCTTCGGTGTGTTCTTTAACACTGAGACCAGCGAAGCGAGTATTGATTTGTATATTCGGATTCACTTGTTGACACGTCAGGTCATGTTGTTGCCTCTGTTGTTCCTCTGAATTAATTTGATCTGCTTGATTGACATTTTATTGTTCTTGATTTCGTTCGTTCTCCTTGTACAATAGTTTGTTGCCGTGATTAAGCTGGCTTTTTCATCCTCTGCTGATTTTGCTTTGTCTTGAAGATCTGCTAGAATACAGCTAAGATTGATATTTCTTTTTGAAAACTCATCATTTAGTTTTTGTAGTTGAAAGTTTGCTTTTCTTAGGCTATCCAACTCACTATTTGTCTCTCGATTTTGGAGCTGACTTAGTACTTTCGAATGATCTTGTAGCGTTTTGTCAACTGTTGTTTTGTTTGTTGTAAATTCTTTCACTAACGATCTAACTTGGCAATCGAGGGATTTGGTATATATATAGGTCTCTAAAGCAGAATCTTTTTTGTTATGTAAGCAAATATCGTCGTTTTCATTGCCAATTTCAATATAGTCGTCTTCGTCCTGAATTTTAGTGTCTTCACTGACAAGGGCATTTGCTAGTTTTTTAGATATCGAAGCCAGTGAAATTAACCTAGCTTCGATATTCTCCTTCTCAACACCGCTAAAGGTTATATTTTGTGTATAAGCATGCCATCGAATTGATATATCTTGACTTTCGTCTCGGTACAGCTTTGCATCGCCTCCAGGCGAAGACCATTTACCGCCTGATAGGTTTAAAACATCTTCTACAAACTCTTGTAAAGCATCAAATGATGTCGTCCATATCAATCTTCTTTTATCGTCAAAAGATACTATAGGCTATGAATTAAGCTTCCTTTATTATTACTTCTTGATTCATATCTAAATACCGTGCTCCACACTAAACGAGCTACTCACGCATTTGAACGCTTCAAGCGATAAATTATAATCATGTTAAAGCATTGATGGATACTGGGGCGTCCGGGACGATTATGCATAGTGACCTATTTGGGAGGATGAGAGATAAGGACACCCAATTTCGACAATCGGACAGAACAATAATTGTTTGAGCAAACAATACTCCATTAAAGACAAGGGAGTCGCCGCCAGGAGGAGTATCAATCAACCATGAAGTGTTAGTACGCGAGGACTTGGCGCAAATGATGCGCTGCATTGACTTTTTGCGACCTAATGGTTGCATGATAGATTTTGAAAAAGCTATGATAGAGTGAAAGGGAAAGACCGTAGAATGTTGATTGAGAAAGGCTATAAGGTTTCTCGAGTTTCAATTTCAATATCAACTGTTATCCCAGGACAATCGCTAGTGGTCCTAGCGTGTAAGTTTGAGAACGGTAGTGCTAACGAACATTTAGACGGTGTATTGGAACCTGCAAAGAAATTTGAAGAATGTTATAACTTAGGAATACTCAAAGTGGAACTAAACTGAAGAGTGGTCAGATATCAGTTGAAATGTTAAACACTTCTTGAAGAACCAAGACAGTTTACCGAGGAAGCACTGTTGGTGAATGCTGTCCGTTGGTGGAAGAAAGTGAAGCTAATGAAGAAGTTTACTATTTTGTAGCTGAAGAAAAGACGGAAGATGTTCGATGGTTTCAGCCTAACATTCGCCATGGACTATAGAACAGTTGTTTCCTACTGTATTGATAACCAATCATTGACAAGGAACGAGAGGAAAAGTGTTTACGAGGTACTTGTACGACATCCTGCAGTCATCTCTGGTAACAAAACTGACCTGGGAGAAGGAGTAGAACATTCCATAGATACCGGGAACGCACCATCAATACCAATTCCGCCACGAAGATTGCCATTCCACAATGGAGAAACCGTACGGAGAGAGGTGGAATCGTTGATTGAGAGCGATGTAATCGAACATTCAAAGTCTCCATGGGCAGCTAAAGTGGTTTTCGTAAAGAAGAAAGATGGGACTGAACGCTTCTGCATTGACTATCGGAAGTTGAACGAAATTACCAAAAAGGACGTCTATCCACTACCAAGATGCGAAAAAATCCTAGAGTCATTGGCCTGTGCAGCGTACTTCTCACATTTAGATTTAGTCCGTGGCTACTGGCAAATTAAGGTCGCCGAGAAAGATCGTGAGAAAACAGCGTTTTCAACTCCCGATGGATATTTCCAGTTCAAAACAATGCTTTTTGGGTTAACAAATTCCCCAGCCACGTTTCAACGCGTTATGAACACTATTCTGGCTGGCCTCTCTTGGATGGACTGTTTAGTGTCCTTAGACGACATTATTGTGTTTGGACGGTGATTAAATGAGCACAACCGAAGACTTGAGGACGTTCTGAATAGACTAGAAAAAGCTGGTTTAAAGCTGAATGCGAAGAAATGTCACCTTGTACGAGAAGAGAATGTGATTTTGGGCCATTTGGGCGGATGTCCAAGGAAGGAATTGCTACAGATCCAGAGAAGATCAGAGTAATTCGCCAGTGGCCTGTTCCTACTAACCTTACCGATTTGCGTTCATTCCTTGGTCTGACTGGGTACTACAGACAGTTTATCGATAAGAACGCTGAAATTTGCAGAGCCATTGTACAAGCTAGAGAGAAAAGATACTATACTTAAGTGGAGCCAAGGGTGCGATGACGCACTCTGTACGTTAAAGCACAAATTAACTACAGCTCCTGCCCTAGCTTGTATATCCACGAACAAATTTGCTGTTCATACTGGACACAGACGCCAGCGATACAGGCATCGGCGCAGTACCATCTCAGCGATAAGGACACGAAGAAAAAAGTTATTTCTTATGCAGCAAAAGCCTTGTCAAAAGCAGAGGAAAACTACAACACTACCAGAAAAGACTTACTCGCCTTAATTTGGGGACTGGAAAATTTCGCACCCTACCTTGTCGGCAAACAGTTCATTGCGAGGACGGACCACAGCGCATTAAGATGGATCAAGAATTTCAAACAGCCCAAAGGGCAGGTCGTTCTGTGGATCAAAAGACTGTCGATCTTTGATTTTGTAGTTGAACATCGGCCGGGACGCAACCATGGAAATGCGGATGGCATGTCGCTCATACCGTTGAAAGATACCGGAGTTGTAGATTATAACGTATGTAAGACGGAAACGGCTCAAGTGTTCAACATTCCTACAGAGAACAGGTCAACTACTTGGTGTCAACCCGGAAATTGGTCGAGCAATAAAATGGGTCCAGGACGGCAGCAGGCCACCTAGAGAGGAGATAGCGGGTATGGGCCCTACGATGGGCCAGTTATGGAGCAAGTTCGATGCATTGTCACTGATAAATGGACTTCTGCATAGAACTTTTGAAGACAATGACGGAAAATTCAACCGCCTACAAATTTGTCTGCCTCGAAAGATAATCAAGGAAGTCCTGGAATATACACATGACATGCTTTCAAAGTGCCGACCACTTGGGATCGAGCAAGATGACGGAAATTATAAGCAAGGGTTTCTATTGGGGCGGTTGGAGAGCGGACGTCGAAATGTATTGCAAAAACTGCAGGAAAAGTGCCGAGAAAAATAAACCTTCGAAAAAGTGTCGAACCCCACTGGTAATTGAACATGCAGGATATCCAATTGAACGGGTCGATATTGATATTGTAGGACTACCTCTTCCGATTAGCCCAACGCTGATTGGCTGAATTTGTTGTAGACAGTTGTCAAAATGTCTAATGTCTTACACTCTGATGGCATTGTTACAAGGTTTTTGTTTCTCCGTGCGGCTGGTACAGTTTGCTAAAACTATTTACAGTATGTGTTAGTAAAACGTCTGATTTTCCTACACATGCAGACGAAGATTTGATTCGTATTTGTCACAAATGCAAATTTCCAAGTTCACTTTAATTAAAAAAATAAACTCCTCTGACATTAGAAGTTTCGCAAAAAATTATCATAAGATATTTAGCGAGAAGTGCGCGATATTTCATGCCGATTTCGAGACATAATATATGATTGCAAAATTATTTTGAGCATTTCCACATTTTTGAGCGTCAAATTTTTTCCACATACCTTTTATCGAATTTTTATTCATGTGGTATGTTTTTTTTGGTAATTAAAAATCTACTTGAAATTTAGCTATGTTATAGTCAAACTCCAACAGTGTAACAAACAGACTTTTGAAAAATCGAAAAATTAAATTTTCGGCTGTAAAGTCAAAGTCATATGGTGCCATTATATATATATATATATATATATATATATATATATATATATATATATATATATATATATATATATATATATATATATATATATATATATATATATATATATAATTATATATATATATAATTTCCGTCACCAACGTAATAAAATTTGCCTGGCAATTTTTAACAATGCTATCGAACACATGTATGTTTGTATCTTCCATTGTATGTTTATGGAAACTTTCAAATGTCCTTTACTAGGGATGCGTCGGATACTGTTTTGCAAGATGGTATCGGAGAATAGTATAAAAATTTTCCTGTAGTTGTATATCCTTCACATGTTAACGTCTTTACCTATACTCGCACCGACCGTTCGAGATACTATATGGATATAGTAATGATATTATGTACATTTTTATGTGTTAAACCACACCATAAGTTTGGACGTAGTATGGAACGTAATATGAACATAATGTTATCTATCTACTGCACATATAAATATATAGCAAATGAAGAGTATGGATATAGAATATGATATGGATATACTGATATAGTGTTGTAGTATGGATATAGCCTAGTACGGATATAGTATAATAGAGACTATAGAACATAGAATATTAACAATGCGTGATCAGTAGTGTGATTCTGATAGGACAGTAGAGTTTGAACACGTGAGAATGGTTTTTGTTGTTAACTTTCATATAGCTCTAAATTTCGTGTCGCGGTGTACGGGCGGTGGTAAATCACGTGACAGATTCGTAAAATACGACAAATACCGAGTTTTTCCGACGAGCATTTTCATAATTTCATCTGATATAACCAGTAGATATAACGCTTTCGTTCACGGCTTTCGTCGAGTAAACGCAAAATTTACCGAATTTAGCGCCTTAGAAAAATATATCGAGGAAGGTAAAGCTTTGCTGTTTTTAATTTACTTTATTTAACAATTATTCGCCGAAGGCGAGGTGATTATCGGTGAATAAAAACCGAGACGAAGTCGAGGTTTTTATTCACGATAATCACCGAGCCTGAGGTGAATAATTGTTTTAGTATAATTTCATAGGTGATTATTTAGAAAAAAATAAAAAATAGACATTTCTTCGTCATTTAATTGACAAAACGGCTTCGGCCGCCATTTTGAAAATCGCTTAGGTGATTATCGCGTAATAATCACCTCAACGGCAACCAATCAGCGTGGAGAATTTTCAATAATCACCTATGTAATTATACTAAAGTCTGTTATTTGGTAGCCATTGTGGTTGCACTGATTATTTTATATCAATTTATAATATCAGGCGTTTTATAAATTTAATAAGGCCAAGCTATAAAATACTCATTTTTATATGCTCAAATTGAAACGAAGCCATTGCCGTGCTCGCACTGATTATATTGTGTGCAAAACTACAGTACATTTTGTAAATAACATGAAATATATTAAAAATATCAAACAATATTCTCATTAATACTATTGAAATTTGATACAACGAAATAGTATTCTACTTCAATAATTTCAATCGTAGTCGTGATCACAGTTTAATAATTATTTTCGATCTATTATAGTAATTCACCGTCTCGCGGGTTTTTATACATTCAAAAAGCCACAATAATGCTAAATTTTGTTTAAATTTGTAGGAAATATAAACATAGCCCGCATGCAGGCCCAAGGGAACTGATAGTGGGCCTGCAAGCAAGGCCCGGTATTTTGTACTTTCCACGTTCGCCCACGAACGCAGCATTCTGATTGGCTGTTTGCTGTTGGATTCTATAATTAGGTCTGTGATTCATCACAAAGGCTCTCGATAAGCTCAAAATTCGAAAATTGATCACTTTTTTCGATTATAAATGGAACAAGAACAGACTGTTTATTGTTTAATTGAAGGAAGAAATGTTTTTGCCATTATGCCAATGGATATTGCTTGTCGTGAGGTGTTGGAATAGCAACATTACGACTGGGGTAAACTATAGTATAACCTTTACTTGAGTTTCATTAATTTCAAACAGACTTGATACGTTATATGTTTCTCAAGAAAAATATCTTTTGGTTGATGTTGAGATGCAGTTGCATGTAAGCCTATTCGAAACACTTTGCGATATACAAGGCTTCGCTGAGAGAGCGAAACAGAAGACAGTATTAAATTGCCGTTTGAAACGAAACGATCTGGACTCTGAACGCTCTCTTCTTTTGTAGAGTTCTTTACCAAATAAAATAACTGAAAAAAATTTCGTACTTTCCGCCGCCAACAAGAATTGCACACACGATCTGATAAGTGAGACAATTTATTTATAACAATGGCGACAGCGAAGCACACATTATAAATGCTAATGTGATCGCACGACTTTCCTCACGATTTGAAGTTTGAGACTGGTTTTCTGTACCCTGGAGCCAGAGGGTATTTATTTTCGCCTGTTTTGAATAACCCTCTGGTGAAATCGGCGTAGTTTTCGAGTTCACATTCCACACATAACTTTCAAAAATGGAAGGAAAGAGTTGATTGGCTGCTGACTATAGGTTCGATAGACTACGTGTTCTGATTGGATATTGTAAACATCATAGCCTGTTCGCAGGCGTTTCGTGTTTTGATTGAATTGAAACATTTGAATTTTGAAATGTCTATATTATTAAATAAACGAACAGAAGTTGAAAGAAGCAGTTTTATAGGCTGCATTAATAGATAGATTGATAAATTTGCTGAATTAAAAGTTTAACGGAGCATCAATACCGCGCCTTGTCCAATTTGATTCACATTAAAGATGCCATTTGGATCTTGCTATCGGTTATGGGAAAAGTTTAATATTCCAAAGTTCTAACACCGAGAGTAGCACGACGACTTGGCAAAAGCCACAATTTTCTGGAGTAACCCATCTTAATAGTCATTTGCAAATTGAACTCTTTCATTGACTCTCACGTCCGTGAACTAAGAAAGCGTGGATGCCGTGTTACTTCACTGTCAAACGAAGAGGACGAGAAAGCAATACTAGATGGAGAGTTTACATTCGCATTTTGTAATCCCGAGTTTATTATTCGAAATGCGAAATGGAGAGGAATGGTTTCATTTGAAATCTATACAAGACAAATTTGCTTGCTTTTGTATTAACAGACAAAGTTCACGTCGGCCAAAGAGGTGTGTTTAATAAATTTATAAAATACAGATTTTTTGAATGTATATTGCAAGATTAAAGTGAATGAATATAATTATATATTTATATTAAATTGAATAGATGTGATGTTTTAAATTGAATGAAATTCAGGAGAATGAATATTGCTACAAATGGGCTGGCATACACTGGACAGTAAACATGCGACAAAACCCTGTCTAGACGGCTTGGCGTCAAGGATAATGATTGGATAATATTTTTAGAATATGATGCATTAAGCCATTATACATTTTTTGCATTCTTTATCCGAACCAGGAATCGCTAACAAATTCACCAGAGGTTTTTCCTTTTTCTCCGCGCGTCTTCTCGCATTTCGCGTTCGCCAAACCTAAAAAAACCTCTGGGCCAGGGTAGGTTTTCTGTTGAAATTCGTCCTAATTTGCCTGTTCCGATTTAAGTTGAAAATGAACACTTGGAAATTTGGCAATTACTGACTGCGTTGCTTGCTTTTTTGGAGTTAAAACGCAGCCATTTACACATTGTTTATGTTCTGAATAAATATTTTTACCAAGATATGGATAGACTAATAGATTCGTATGAGAAGCATTTTTACGGATTCGATTTATTCTATAACACAAAAAGTGCAATGGAATAAAACGTATACCGTAAACCTCCAAATATAAGCCCCCCCTTGAATATAAGCCCCCATGTATTAGCCCACCACATGTATTAACGCTCACCTCATTCCAACTATAAGCCCCCCCCCTGAATATAAGCCCACTTGTCTAAGACACCCCCCCCCTGTATATAAGCCCATCAAAAATCGCTTACGAAAGAATATAATCCCAGGGCTTATAGTTGGAGGTTTACGGTAGTACAATTGCACTTGCAAAGAGTGCAATGGAACATATTCCATTGCACTCTTGGGAAATGGAATTTTCTATTCAATATCATGTGACCATAAACAGCCAATTAAACGATCAGAATTCAATAATGTATTATATTAGGGGGAGAGTGCTGCCACTCAATAGGTTAAACCAAACTTGTAAATTATGTCAAATTTTAATCTGATTTTTGTAAATATATGTTTGAAAACTACAAGCGTAAGCAATCTCATTGGGTCATTAATCCAGAAAGATCCCCCAAGGAAATTTATGAAAGGTGGTTGGGAAAAAGTGTTATAAATTTTCCACTGCTAAGCATGAAAGGAAACAGAAAAATGTGTTCACACACATTTAGAGAAGTAATGTATTATGCAGGTTAGGACATTTTTGTTGTTGTTCACAGTAGATTGGCATATTATATTTTATTTGTTGTTAGCAAGCCATCGTGTGATAACTTATATGTTTAGTCTATGGCTGATATTAGGATATCCAGTGGGAGGGGGGTGTATTTGGGTGGCACTTGCATCTAAACACTTTTAGAGTTTCAGTAAGGTAGTCCTCAAACAGTAACAAGGGGAGCCTTCAATGTAGGGGTGGGGGGAGTTAGAGAGACATGTGAAGAGCAAAGTGGGGGTTAAAAGGCTTGTAGAGCTGTGAGTTGAAAAGCTATGCAGGGCCTGGGGATTAAATAGCTAAAGTGCATGAAGTGTACAATTCTACAAAACATTAACAGACTAGCTTGGACAATTCCTTTATATTTATATACATATTTTATACTTATAGCAAAGTTACTTCATGTGATATCAGAATGGTCTAAAGTGATCACCAAGAGATTAGTAAAATATATTTGAATATACCAAAGTTCCCAATATAACATTCCAGAAATTTCAAGTATATGTACAAAGATATTAAAATGAAAGTTAAATGCAATAAAAATTATGAACTATGATTATGCTTCCCCACCAAAATTCAGTTCCTATGTACAGTATCTACCTTATGGAATATATATTGTTATTGGATGTTCGTTTCTTCAGTTCTGATGTAATCGCTCTGGTTCTGAAAATAATTTCAAGCCATTTCTCCCGAGTTTCCTTTTTTATTGACGACTTATATTCACTTTCGTGCGCGCTCATGACTGGTATTCGAAACAATGAAATTTGGTGCTTTTGGCTTGTTGAACAACCAAAAAAAGCACAATTACGGCCAGGCATAGCTTTAATACTTCATAGCTAGATAACGAAATTCCCAACAGATGGCCAACAGATATTATATTAATATTATTTCAATGTAAATTAGGTGGTCCGTGATATGTATTATTACGCCATTTTTAATATGATGCACACTATTTGACACGTGATCCTTCCAAGCATGGATCAAAGACATATTCCGAAACTCCGCCCACCTTCCAAACCATCCCCTTCTATTAACTATGCACCAATTCAACACCGTTGGTGAGCGCCGGCGATAATTGATGAACTTCAGACTTCGCTAATGCTTCCGTTTCCCCGAGTATAAATAGACGGCGGGAATTAGTAGAGAATATATATTGATTTATATATATATATATATATATATATACATATATATATATATATATATATATATATATATATAAATCAATTTAAAAATCAGAGACTATGCAACTTCGACCATCAATTTATTAAAAAAGAAACAAACTAAAACATATTAAAATACTTTGATCGGCGAAACGGGCGAAACTTTTAAGCTTTTATTTTAGTATGTTTTAGTTTTTTTGTTTTTTTTTAATAAATTGATGGTCGAAGTTGCATAATCTATGATTTTTAAATTGGTTTATATATATATATATATATATATACCGGTATATATATATATATATATATATATATATATATATATATATATATATATATATATATATATATATATAAGTATATATATATATATATATATATATATATATATATATATATATATATATATATATATATATATATATATATATATATATATATATATATATATATATATATATATATATATATATATATATATATATATATATACATATTTATATCCTTCGCCCTCGAGGAGACTTCGTTTGGCATTGCCATACCAAATATCAAAGCTTATATATATATATATATATATATATATATATATATATATATATATATATATATATATATATATATATATATATATATATATATATATATATATATATATATATATATATATATATAGAGAAGTATCGAGTTTGGAATCATATATGAGTAGAGTGCTCAATACCGTAGTATAGAGCTGATAAGATTAGATTAGATTAGAAGACAAACTTGAGTTACTTCATATGAACTTTATTTCACTAAATGAAATAAAGTTCATATGAAATAATTCAAGTTTGTCTTCTAATCTAATCTAATCTAATTATATATATATATATATATATATATATATATATATATATATATATATATATATATATATATATATATATATATATATATATATATATATATATATATATATATATATATATATATATATATATATATATATATATATATATATTATTTATTATTATTTAAAAATATTTTAAAACGGTAGCTCTTCAGGGCTCGTAGGCACCTGTTTTTCAAGAGGCCGTTTATTACAGTATTTACAAGCTATATAAATATAATAACACAAATATACACACAAAAACAGAGAAAACATAACGAACTTAATAATTGCATGCACTACATTTGTATCTAAAAATATTCTATCCTATTTAAATATTTACAAAGTTACCAAAAGGAATCAAGTGCCGTCAAGGATACGTTTAAATTTGTTAAGGCTAATGCCTTTTTCTTTTGCTGTAGTTGATAAGTCATTCCAAAAGGATGCAGCTGAATAAATGAAGCTCTTTTTCATAAAATTTGTTTCAGGTTTTCCAAGATCATAGTTGTTATTG